GACATTTTGCATAACTTGGACAATGAAAAGGGGGGCCATGAGGCATAGGACCTGCACAAATATTCTCTCAGAGGAAAAAAAAAAAACAACAATCATGTTCAGCAAAGGGAGGTGAGGGAAAGAACAGAGATCTGAGAAAAAAAGGAAAAATAATGTGTTTTGCTCTCACTCCAACGGCCAACTACTTCATCCTTCTGCCACTCTCTTTTTCTCTAACCTGCTGAGTGGTGAGTCCTCTGCCTTTGATCCTGAAGGCCAAGTGAGCATTAGGTCAAAAAATGAGATCCCAAGTCGCAATGTCCTCCCACCACCCTCCTCGGTCTACAGCAAAGCTACTTAAGAAGATGCTTCCCCAAGCCCTGCTGGGAAGCTAGGTTGGATGCAGAGATATCACCAACTTAAAAGCCAATCATGAGCCTCATAAGTTTGCAGATGAGAAGAGGACTCTAGCAATGGGAATGGTGCTCAATCTGTCTTCCCTGATGTAACTTTTACATCTCTCCCCAGAAACCTCCTTCCTACTTCTTTCCATAAAATATACCAGCCAGAACTTCCAGGCCACTCTGCTGATACTGTAACCAAAATAACATGGTCCCTTTTGCAGAATGCCCTGGTGCTGCCAAGTTAGTCATGCCTTTTAGTTATTAGGTGCAGCAAGAACTCATTGTGGCAGAGACTGGTAGCCTTCCCTCTTTTTTCCTGGACACACAGCTAGACCTCAATTCCTGGCTCCCTCACAATTAGAAATGGCCATGAGACAGAATTCTAACAAGTAGATCGTGAGGGCTGTGCACCACTCACAGGTCCATGCACAGTAAACCTTGTTCTTTCTCCACCCACCAGCCTGATGCAACAAACATAACCACCTTGGAAGCCACATGGCAAAGACGGCAGATCCACAAGAAAGAAGGAGTCTGTATCTCTGAATCATCACTAGCAGCCTCCAATAAAAAAAATTTTAAAAAACTTGAAGATGTTATATAAGCAAGACATAATCTTCTATCATGTTTGCGCCATTGTACATTCTTTACTCAAACATGTTTGTTACAACAGTGAACCTACCTAAATTAACGTGCACCTCCTTTTTGAGGTGCCCACTGTGGAGGCCATGTGCTTTCCTACACTATTTTTCACTAGAGCGTTTCCTCGGGCCATTGTGCTTCCAAAACGCTACAGATGATGTGAAAGGGTTCTAGTTGTCATCAATAAGGATCCTGTCCCTTATTGATTATAAAACTTCACTAAATGACAGGTTTTTCTGTCATTGTGCAGAAAAAACAGGGCAAGCTTTAGAGTCAGACTGAGTTTGCATCCCTATGCCACAATATTCTGCTCAGGTGATCAGTATCAACTCACTTTATGTTTCTGATCCTAAACCCTTCTCCGTCACTGGGACAACTAATTCTCTCAATTAGTTATTGAGATACAGTTTTAAAGAGTAAGGTTGTAAGGAATAGAATCAAAGCACTTAGCACAGTGCCTGGGACATAGTAGATTCTCAATAAATACAAGCTACTATTATCATTATTTACATTTACTACTATTTACTTGATGGTACCCTTTAAGTATAGGAACAATATCCTTCCAAATATATATATATATATATATGTCACTTCACATCTGTCAGGAGTTTGGCCTTCATGACAACTTTGAGAGGTAAACTGAGAAGTTTGGATGGTTTACCTTTAATTTTACAGCCTTGAGCATGTTGAGTTGTCAAACCATGAGTTCCTGCAGGACATGGGGTATGTCTAATTTATCTTTATGTGCCAACACCAAAACAGTGACCGTTACTCCACTAAAGGGACACTGTCCTTGGTATCAATATTGTTATTCACTAACTGTGACCTCCAAAGCGTGAATTGTGTCTATAAATCTTTCTCCAGAATCTACAAGAGTGACCTGCACAGAGTAGGCCCTCAACAATAGTAATGAATAAACTAATTTCTCTCTGATAGGTAGGTGATGTCATTCTGGTTGAGGAGGGCAGTGGGAGGCAATGGTTGCTATATAGCGGATGGGTCTGTGAGCAAATCTAGGTTCCAAAATGACAAAGCCTCCTGTATAGTGTATGTGGTGTCACTCCCCGCCACCACTGGAACTTTCATTCAGAGGTCAAGAGTCTCCAGTTTCCACCTGTGTAATGAAAGGTAAACAATATAATCGTCCCAGCTTACCTCATACAGTTGTCATACAGATCAAGCACCATAATAGATATAAGGTGAGATATATATATATATATGGAAGGATATTATTGTTTTTGTTGTTATTGTTACAAAAGCCACCTTTGTCACTGGTACTCCTGTACTTTTGATCCTTTCTTCTCATCTAGTGGGAGATCCTATGTCATATTCTTTTCCTGCTTAAGGCATGGCCATAAAGTATAAGAAATATTAACACAAATATTTTTATATCACATATTACATAAAGACAAATATATTTATTATTAAATTGACTGCTTCTTGGACACATGCCCAGAAATGACTCATGTTTTTAGGGACAAAAATGGTAATGAAGCACTTCATTTCACCCTAGACAAAACTGCATCACACGCAAGGAAAGCTAGCGAGTGATAAGTCACATTTCACTTGCTCAAGATTGTTTCAACAATGAGTGGATTCATACACAGTCTTTGAAATGAAAAACAGGAATTGGGAGGAGAAGGCCGAGCAAGAGCCTAAATGAGAAAAATAGGTTGCAATTGAGCTTTCACATAGCTGAAGAAAACATAGTTTCACTACGCTGTATAGAAACAACTGCCCTGACTGCATCTAAAGGAGTTTGAAAGAAGGTTCAGTCAAGTTAGAAGTGCCACCCAATGCCAGAGGACCCCTCAAAGTTTCATTTACTTTGGGGCTTTCTTTCTTGGCCAAGGCCAAGTCCCTCTCTTTGTAGACTCTAATATTTGATGTGGTCAACACCTGTAAGTGAGTGAATTCATCTCTTGAGGATTTAAACTCATAAGAAATTGAGGAATAAACAAGAAAGCCAACACATTGATCTACATCAAGCCATATAGGTACCCAGTGACGCTCATATATTTCTCCTGCGGCCAGCCCAGTCTCTCTGATTGTGAATACAACATGGAAATACAGACTGAAAGCTCACTGTGTGAGCCTGTCATCATTGCTAGTTGTGGGATTAGGATTGTGTAACTTTGAGCCCATTCACAACAGGAACATACCTGCCTCTAGGAGTCACTGCATTGTGTCACGGAAGATGTGGGCCTCTTGGTCTCTTGTTTTCCTGCATCCCATACTCACTAGTCCTTCACTCCCTATCCACGTCTGAATGCTCATTCTTTCTCTTCCTTCATAATATTGATAAAGTAAAACAAGGTTTGTGAGTTTCCTATTAATTGCATGTGAAATGCCTTATTTCTAGATGAATGTTACAATTATCTGATCTCAAGGACCATGTGATAATTTTATCTGTTTTTTTTTTTTAGTGGACAAGAGCGATATGTGATATCACACTTAAGATGTGATATTTTTACTCAAGACACCTCTGCCAATAAGAACTAGTGTTACTTTTCCCCAGAGTGGAATGTATTTGAACTGCTCCCAATGCAAATGTTATTCATTTCACAGTCTCATCCCCAAATCTTTAGATATTCAATTTTTATCTGAGATAAATACTCTTATTATTAAATTGACTTCCTAAGCACAAATTTCTTGCCAAAGGAAAAGTCTGGAATGGCAGATTTTGTAACTAAAATAACAACTAGTACTTGAGACACAATGAAGTTGTTGAAAGAACAATAGACTTGGCTTCAGAACATGTGGATTCTTGACCCTGTTCAGCCACTAAAGTACTGGGAAACTTTATTTTCACACTTTCAGCCTCAGTTATTTATCTGAAAAGCAAAAGAACTACCTGAGATCATTTCTAGGGTTCCTTTTAGTGATAACTTTTTATGATTCTAAGATATACAAGAGCTGACATGCCATAGTCCTCAAAAACCCTTGCTAAGAAGAAAGGGGAAAGAGAAAAGCTACCAGTGACTGAGACTTTACTAAATTCTAGGCACTATGTACCTACCATCTCTTTGAATACTTAAAACCATGCTGTGAGTAGGTCCTACCATCATTTGCATTTTGCAAACGAGGAAATCGAGGTGTAGAGAAGGTAAGTGATTGGCCTCATGTTATGGTCTGAATGTTTGTGTTCCCTGAAAATTTATTATAAATGTTAACTCTCCAAGCCCTAATGTAATGATATTTTGAGGTAGAACTCTGCAAGGTAATTAGGTTTAGAAGAGGTTATGAGGGTGTAGTCCTCCTGACAGGATTAGTGCCCTTATATGAAGAGACTAGAGAGCATGCACTCTCTCTCTCTCTTTCTGTATCTGTCTCTCTCTCACTCTCGCTCTCGCTCTCTCTCTCTTTCTCTCTGTCTCTACCATGTGAGGACACAAGATGGTAAACATCTGCAAGCCAGGACAAGAGCACTAATGAGAAACCAAATTGGCCAGCACCTTGACCTTGGACTTCCCAGCCTCTAGAACTGTGAGAAATAAATGACTGCTGTTTAAACCATTCCCTGTATGATATTCTGTTATAGCAGCCCAAACTGACTGAAGCACTCAATGACCTATTGTTAGTACAAGGTCTGAACGTTATGTTAAAAATAGAGGCCAAATGAAACTATGCCAAAGCGTCTGAAGAAACTGTCCCCAGTGCAGCCTGCTAAATTCCACCAGTCCCAGTTCTTGGGTGCTACTACTTTGAGGGCAGGATTAGAAATTAATTTGTGCCAGTGCCAACTTTACCCACGAATGCATAGCAAATGACCTAGATCGTCTGATTTGAAGGACAGGCCCTCTAGAGACTACCTTATTCCAAAGTATCTCACTGACCCAGGAGATGGCAAAGCTGAGTACCTGTTAAGCCACCGTTAAAAAAAAAAAAAAAAAAAAAAATCATTCTTCTGGAATAAGAACTGCTCTCTTCCTGTGATTTTCTTTTTAAACTGCAAATCCCACTGAGTTGGGAGGCAGAAGCTCATTGCTCTGAGCTGGTCTCAGATGCAAGTGGTGAGGAGGCAAGAGTGCATGCACCACACGCCTGGGAAGAGGGGGCAGATTGAGAGGAGAGAATTGACAAGAGGGAGAAGAGAGCAGGAGACGGAGGCAACAATCTACCTCTCCCTTTACTGGGACCAACCCTAAAGAGGAAGAATTTTGCTCTTGGCTTGAGCTGGGGTGCTAAAGCCATTATTTATAGCTTGCATCCTCCCAAATCAGGCGGTGCTACTCACATGGGAAGGTTACCAGAAGAAGCAGGGAGTATGTCATGGTGGGGACATTACTACAGCAGATGGTGGCCATGTGAGCTGCGGCGGCAGCCAAGGGCTGGTTCAGAGTGGATTCCGTTCTGCTTAAATGGCATCTGTTTCCAAGCGAGGGCTGAGCCTCCCGTTCTGCTGACACTGCTCTTCGTAACCCAAGTCGGGGCCAGCTCAGCATCCGGACCCTCAGCTAGCTCTCAGGGCAGGCTGCATCCAGCTCAGGCAGAGAACCAGAATTTCCCCTTCTTGCCTCATTAAAGCAACCATCTAACTTCACTTTTATAATGGAGCAGTTTTGGCTGAATTTAGTCTTGAGTTGTGACGAGCAAAGGCAATAAATTCCATGATCCTTTCTACATCTCGGGAAGGAATGCACTGGAGTAATAAAGAAATCTCTGCACATGTCCTTCCTCCCATGGGGAAGATGCTGCGACTCCATCTGCCACTTCACATGCTAAGTGCTAAGGATGGCAGTCATTTCTAAGAAACCATTTAATTTTTTTTTTTTACTGAGACTATTTTGCATTTTTACCTCCTCGGAGCATATCGCTGGGCACCAGGCAGAGTATATTAAGGGCTACAAAACCCCACTGTCTTAGATGTATCTGTGTTCAGGAAATCATCCTGCAGGTGTCATCTGGAATATCCAGGTGACGAAGGTGCTACACTGATGGAGTTTTCTCATAACAGCTCTCTGTCCCATACTTCATTTTCCATGTGTTGACGCAGCTGTCATTTCAGCTCCTTCTGGCCCATCGTGAACATGAGATTTGTTGTTCAAATGTGGACTGTGAGGAGGAAAGTGTGAGAATGAGATCATAAGTTTCACTAAACCCCGCTGTCCCAAAACACAATGAGCCGCTTTTGGCAGCCTGGCAGACCCCACAGGAAGGCCAGCAGCCGAGAAACTGCGCCAAGCTTTGAGCCATGCACTCGGTGTTGAAAGGTTTCATGCAAAAGTCCTGAAGCAAAGTAATGAAATGTTCAGAGAGTAGAGCCCCCCATGCCCTGTCCCAGCGATAGTGTTTATTGGATGGTCTCTTGTCTCCCAGCAACCGGGTTTTCGTTTCCAACAGGGGAATAGAAATGAATGCAAACTTTCTGCTGCCCCATCCACCCCACCCTCCCAAAGCCACCCAGGGTTGCCAGTTCCTGCTGCAGACCCTGTCTCCTCCCACTTCCTTCCTGAGTGAGGCTCCGTCTGCACCTCTGCTCCACAAAGAAGGTGGGTGGCAAACGGGAAGCCCCTGGGGCAGTCAGGGGAACAGAGGAATGAAAGAGCAGAGCCCTTGGCAGGTGTACCCAGGCACATGGGCCACTGTGGGGTGCCACAGCTTTTGCATGCGGGCAAGGTTCCATGTGCCCTTAGAAGTTAAGGTGCAGGCATTTAAACATAAAAGAACCTCTGTCTACCTTCTGCATTTACTGATGAAAACACCAGCATGGAGGGGATAGTGGGGAAGCAAGATGACACAGAGCAGAGCCAGGACTAGCATCCAGGTCTCCTAACGAGACCCCCCCCCCCACCTACTACTCCTCACCATCTCCTTGTGCAAGGGGTGAGAAAAGAAGTACAGAGCATCTGGGGGTGGAAAAGTTTGAGAACCTCTGGCCTAAGGGTTTTCTGAATCAGAAATTGTGCAGTTTTAATCTGTTCTGCCCACATTCCTCACGAGGCATCTGGTGGCTGCTCCAAAGATATGTCCTCGTTGCATTGTGCCAGCATTCTGAATGCTGTGGGGCACAAGACAAAGATCATTCCCTGGGTGCAGAGGCGGAGTCTTGTGGTTCCTGGGGCTTCTCTCTTGCAGCCTGGGAAGCCTGCAGCTACTGTGGAAGCATGCAGAAACTTATAAAAGGGAAGCTGTGGTTCAGCATCAGCAGATAATAAGCAGAGATACAGCATCAAGCGCCTTACGATCACCCACATCTACAAAGCTTCCGCCCCACCACCTCCACAGCCGCTGTTCCACGGCCAGTGGGAAGTAAGGTAGATTTGCCCATGATTTCTGCCCTTGGTAGAAACAGTCCACAATAATTCATTTTAACACAGGGTTTTAAGAGTTTAAAAATAAAAAACTGTTTTGTCTTCTTTAGATTGTGGATCTGCTTGCAGCACAAAACGTAGATTTTTAACGTGGGGCCACGCACCGTCTTTAGGAAATGCACATTCATGAAGAATCCAAGCCTCAGAGATTTTCACATGAGTCCTCCAGATGTTATTGCACTTGCCTTCTTCCTTCTGTGTGCCAAGATAACAATAGTTACTCTTTGTTGTACATGCCAGGGATCTCCATGGAACACATAAGGCAAAGATGTTATTATTCCCATTTTTTGTTTTTGTTTTTGTTTTTATTTCGGCATATTATGGGGGTACAGATAAGGTTTCAATAAATGCCCTTTCCCCTCCTCCCCCCACAGGTCTGAGTTTCCAGCATATTATTCCCATTTTACAGATTAATAAAATGAAACTAAGAATATCTGATTGTATGATTCACCCCAGATCTCTCAGCTGGTAACAGGCTGTGATTCAAACCCTGGCCTGGCTCTGGAACCTGGATTCTTTCCTTCCTTTCACTCATCAATTCCTTCCACCCATCTCAGGTACAGCTGGTCAAAACTCACTCAACCCCTTCCTCCTCACCTTAAAGCTGGACATGTAGAAACCCCAGTACCACGACCCACACTGCACTCCAAGACTAGGCACTGTAGACTCTACTGTCCTCCTGAAATACTAACTAGAGAAAGGCAAATGACCTCCTTTTCCTTAAAATTCCTAAAAGTTCTCCTTCTGATACTCCAATCATAAATCCACTTTTAAATGAGCTGCTGAGATGGCTGATATCATGTTGGTTTCCTGCTTCTGTAACACCCATAAGTGTATGTCCACATCAGTGTATCTGCCTTAGGTTATAATCCTAGATAGAAATAATCTAGACTGTTTAATTTTTGATTCAGTATCAAACAGAAAGTCAGCCAGAATTAGGTACTTAATGAATGTTTGATCTCTACGATGATGATGATGATGGTGGCGGTGGTGGTGATGGTAGTCGTGGGATAAAGGACTGGGACCCGGCTTTATCCTGTGAACCCACCCAGAGCGCTTTACTGAAATTGTCCGTAACTACTTCCCAGCAAGCTACAGCAGAGGACTCGGTAGATGCGGGCGGAAGAGTCCCTATGGGCTGGTTTTCTCTGGCAGTACCAGGTAAGTTTAGAGTCTCCTCCCTCCCGGGGCACTGAATGGGTGCAGAAGAGTCTCAGAGGCTGCCGGAGGCAACTGCTTCAGGGAGCAGCACCTGCCAGCAAATAGAAGTATCACCTGCTTCCCACATAGGGAACCAACCCTCCCTGAGCACCAAGCTCGGAGCCAAACTGACAGGCTGGAGAAAGAAGTCAACAAAACTTTCACAGCAGGTGCAATGGATTACTGGCTTCCCTGATGACATCCTGAGCATGACTCCATGTGGGGGACGCTGGTGCAGAGAGCCCACTCAGCAAGAAGCCAGCCATATGCCTCGGCTTTCCCCACCAGCCTGCGTGTGTGCTCTGCGCCCCATAGTCAAGCCCACTGAGCAGGGTCAGTGTGATAGTTTCACTTACTCAACCGAGACAGCCATGGCTGTGGCCTGAGGATGAAACAAGGGTGGAAATAATAAAGATAAGATCTATGGAGGCACCCACACGCCAGCTTGGGACTTCCTCAGCATGCATGTAGACCTATAAATAGAGCTTAAAAAAATACTCAGAACCTTTTCTCTCAGAAGATTTTCTACATAAATCAAAAATTACCTTGAGTTTCTAAAGCAAGTAGACATAAGCAATTGTGAATAAAGAATACAAATAGCTCGTGTGATGCATTTAGTCAATATATCGCACATCCCAGACTAACAGCCATTACCCTGATTCCATCGTGCACTTAGGACATTCATTTTTCATTGCAATCATGGTTTGCTGAGTGCTTTCAGGGAGAATAAACAAGGCTTTGAAGGAAAAGCACAGGAAATTTATAAATTGAAACTCTTTTTATTTTTAAAATAATTTTATACTTTAAAGCAATTGTATGTCAATGGCTCCCAATCTTCAAAAAAATTGTACACTTTTAGAAAAAAAATCTACCTTAATATGAATACTTTCCAGCTTGCTCACCTTAGAAAGTGAACACAGAAATCAATCCATAGACTCATAGTTCAACCATCTCTTGTCGTTTTTGTTATTTTATTCCATAGCTCATAGAGATGAGAACTGAAAAAGAACAAAAATGTGCTTTTTGACTCACATATTCTTAATCAGTTTTAATTTCAGGTAAAGATGACACATTATAGTGAGGACATTTTAAGAAAAGTTGACTTGTGAGCTGTATGGGGTGGGGGCCATCAAAAATTGAATGAAAATTAAATTCAAAAATACCCATCTTTTTCTTGTGTATGGTATTACAATAGATAAATAACACTCACGTCATTCACTGCATCTGCTTAAATAAATGGCATCAGCTTGCTACAAATATTGAATGTTGTCTTTTATATTAGAGTGCACCTTAGTAATCACGCGGCCATTTCTGCATTTGAGTGCAAGTGAAAAGATCTAGCGTGCCAGCTTCTCAGATGAACTTTCACCATTCCTTCTCTCCAATGCTGACATCCACACAATTGCCAGGCCTGCCCTACGGTCTTAGAGCTTAGGGAAGGGGAGCAGGGGAGAGCACAGGGTCTGCAGCCAACCTAGGTCCAAATCCCAACTCTACCACGGACTAGCTCTATAAACGTGACACATTGCTTAATCACTCACTCTGTGCCTCACTCTGCTGCTCTGTGAAGTGGAGGTAGTAACACCTCTGGTTGGAAGGATTCATTGAGTTGCATGGAAAGCACTTAGAACAGTGTGCAGCACATAATATTAATAAATGCTACATGAGGCCAGGCGTGTTGGCTCACGCCTGTAATCCTAGCACTCTGGGAGGCCGAGGCAGGCGGATTGTTCGAGGTCAGGAGTTCGAAACCAGCCTGAGCAAGAGCGAGACCCCGTCTCTACTATAAATAGAAAAAAATTAATTGGCCAACTAATATATATATAGAAAAAATTAGCCAGGCATGGCGGTGCATGCCTGTAGTCCCAGCTACTCGGGAGGCTGAGGCAGAAGGATTGCTTGAGCCCAGGAGTTTGAGGTTGCTGTGAGCTAGGCTCACACTACTACAATCAACCTTCAAAAAAAAAGCTAGACTCTCTCAGGGAAAAAAAAAAAAAAAAATGCTACATGAGCATTAGCTCTTTGACAATAATGACTTTTTCCACATTGGTGCCTTGCTTAGTATTTCCACTTCTAGCCCCTGCTGCCTCCCCGAAGTCGACTGCAACAAATACGAATGTAGCTTAGCTTCCTGCTTCTCACCCACCTCCAGTTCAGATCGAATACCTTTCCTTTGAGGCTCATGCTACCCAGCAGATGTTTCTATTATAACGCCTACTGCACTTCAGACTTTATGTATGTTTATGTATAGTGTGGTTGAAAAACACCTATTATAATAACTGATATCAGAAGTCCACTTAGGAAATTGACTTTGGCTAGGAAATACCTTGATAGGTAAATTTTGACAAGAAAGATAAGTCCCAAGACTGACTGGAAAGAGGAGAAACAGAGAAAGCTAACTCCTGGCATGAGAGACACGCATGCATTCGGGGGCTGGAGTGAGCAGTGAAAATGACTTGGGTGAATGGGGAAAGGCAGTCAAGCAACATGTAAAAGGATTTGAGCTCACAGGAAAAGGTGGCCAGCAAGGGATTCCTGGTGACAAGGGCTGCAAGACAAGACTCAAGGAATGAGTCATATTTAACTTCAAATTGTTTGCACTTCTAAGATGTGACAAAGACCTAAAACTTAAGTAAAGCCTGATACACCTCAAAAGGGTTAAAATAGTAAGTCTATCTTATGTATATTTTACTACCATAAAAAATATTAGCGAATATATCGGATAGAAGAATAAACACAAATAGGGACAGTCTATGCTCCCGTGTGTTCTTGTGCCCCAAGCCCTGACTCTCTGCCTCTAGATCCCCAATGAAGTCGGTTCTGTTCCTGACTTCTCCCAACACAGCCGTTTGGCTAGCGCATGGTTCCACAGCTGTCTCAATTGTCCTCCTCCCGAAGCCTGCACAGAGCACATTCTCAGCCTCCACCCAGGAGCTGCCTCCCAGGAGCAGCCATTTGAGCCAGCCATTCCCACAAAAGGCCACAAAGTCCAGTCCCTGTAGCTTCCTAGACCCTAGAAGCTGGCCCTGCCCTTTGGCCCCCTTAACTGAGATTTCTGTTTAAAAATAAAAGTAGAGTTATTTTCAATAAAAGTATTCAAATAGTGTTTCCCACTTCTGCACCCGCCCCCCAAAGTCTTCTGGCAGGACTAAGCAGTGAGAAAACATACCCGAGTGAGAAGCCAACTGAATCTTTAGCTGGGGGCATGCACCCTGTGTCAGCCACAAAGAGGAAAGACAGGGGTGGGGTAGGAGCCCAACCTTGCTGATACCCACTTCTCCCTCTGCTCCTCCTGCTCGGGTTTCTGGGCCTTGACCACAGGGCTCTTCTCTCCTTCCACTCGGCTTCAGGCGCCGAACAACTGTGGATACCTGTGGCTCTCTCCATTTCCATTTCCTTCCTGCATATCTGTCCATTCACTTTATCACTGTCATTACACTAGAGATTCTAAATCATCAGAAACCCTGATTTTAAAGTTCAGGTTCCACATACTTTGTGTTCAAGGCAATGACTCAAGTGTGTCAAACAGGATGACATGAAATCAGGAGGAGGTGTGGAGGCACTGGTCGCCCGTACTTATAAAGGTGGCCCGGACAGCTGTCCCAAGGTTCCAAAAGGCCTAGACCTATAAATTGTCCAGAAGGCCAGGGTAAGGGGGATGTGAGACAATTTATAGGCCTATAAATTGTTCAGAAGGTCAGGGGAAGGGGAACAGAGAGTACATAGGATGCTCAAATGAAGTGAACAAAAAATATGGCTATTCCCTGCAGTGGTGATAAGATACCCAGAGTGCTTGTTCCCTTCTGACCCCTGTACAGCTTGCCACATTAGTTTACTTGTAGGTAATCCCTTAGGAGAAAGGATTCTTAGTTTCAAACCAAAAACATAAATTCTTAATGATATATGCAGAAAAAATATATATACTATTAAAGGAGATTAATCAGTCTGTTCACAGGACTTTCAGAAGGGTACATGCAGCAGGCTCAGGGCCAAGCAGCCAGGAGAATCCTTCAAGTCACGTTTAATTAATCCAGTGGCCACAGATTGCTGGGCCCACACAACGAGCACTGCCAACATGGGCACACCAGGCTTCCCGAGACCCTCTGCCACTACGGTCTCTAGAAACTGGATGTTCAGCTAGCCAACTGGGTTCTACATCATCTCTGATTCTTTGTATCATTAGTCTCCAACTCAGAGTCCATTTGGCGGGGCCAAGGGTGCTCTGATTGTGCTCTGATTGTGAGGGCTGCTGAGCAAATATCTGGGGAACTGGTAGGGCTCTTAGGGAATACTCCAATCATGAGCACAATATTCCTAAGTGTGCAGGGCGGCCAGAAAGACTGAAACATGCCCCTGGGAGCACTGCCACCCACCCGAATGCTCCACTACTTCTGATGCTCTGCAGCAATGCTTCAGATAAAGTTACCTAGAAAATTAGATCTCATCTTTGCTAAAGAAATAAGAAAAGCCAATTATGTAGACTCAAAAGACTCAGTTGTAACAATCACTGGATCTACAGCCAATACTCCTTAGCATCCACTTGACCTTGAAGGGCTGGTGGGTCCCAGGGGAACTGTGGGTCTCCTGGAGCTTGGGCATTCAGGACAGGCTGCTTACAGCTGAGAGGAGAGTACAGCATGCCAGCAGCCCCTTAGGGCAAAGGGGACTAGAGCACCAGCTCCACACAACCCCCCAAGCATAAATCAGGAGGAAACAGAAATCCTGAACAGACCAGTAGCAAGAGTTAATCAACTTTTTAAAAATCTCTCAACCAAGGTGGATTCACAACCAAATTCTACCAGACCTACGAAAAAGAACTGGTACCTATCCTACTGAAACCATTCCATAACATTAAGAAGAAACAACTTCTTCCTACTCATTCTATGAAGCCAGTATCACACTGATATCAAAGCCAGGAAAGCATACAAATAAAAAGAACTACAGACCAATATCCCTTATGAACATAGATGCAAACAAAATGCTAGAAAACTGAATCCAACAGCACATCAAAAATAGAATTCACCATGATCAAGTGGTGTTTCATCCCAGGATGCAAGTATGATTCAATATACACAAATCAATAAATGTGATTCTCCACATAAATAGCATTCAAAACAAAATAATATGATCATCTCAATATATATTGAATGTAAATTAATACAACCTCTATGGAAAATAGAATGGAGATTTCTAAAAGAACTAAAAGTAGACCTAACATTCAATCCACCAATCCCACTGCTGAGGATCTATCCAAAGAAAAAGAAGTCATTTTATAAAAAAGACATCTGCACCTGTATATTTATTACAGCACAATTCACACAGTTGCAAAGATATGGAGCCATCCTAAGTGCTCACCAACTGATGAGTGGAGAAAGAAAATGTGGTAGACATATACCATGCAGTTCTTCTCAGCTGTCAAAATGAATGAAATTGTGTCTTTTTCAACAACTTGAATGGGAGGCCATTATTCTGAGTGAAGTTATCCAGGAACAAAAAACCAATACCACATGTCTCACTTATAAGTGGGAGCCAAGCAATGGGTATGTGTGGTCATACAGAGTGATTTAATGGACATTGGAGACTCAGAAAGAGGAGGGCATGGGGGGGGGGTGCAGGATGAAAAATTACCTGTGAGTACAATGTACACTGTTTAGGTGACAAGTATATTAAAAGCCTAGACTTCACCACTATGCAATTCAGCCATATAACAAAAAACCACTTGTACCCCCTAAATATATTTAAATTTTGAAAAAAGAAATAGAAAGTTTAACAAAATAGGGCCCAGTCTGCATTTCCAGTATTTCTCTAATTACCTTCCAAAATTCTCTACCCTACTAGGACCAAGCTGGTCGGCTCCTGCTTCCCCCCACTGCCCTGACCCCCAGCACTGCTCCACCTTGAGCATTTTTGCTCATTTCACATCTCTGCAGAGCCATCCCCCATCCTGTCTGCCTATCCTAATCCTACATCCATAAACACACAACCCTGAACATGGATG